TTTTTTTTTTCATGGCTTCCAAATCCAATACCTTTGGAATATACAATTGAAATTGCATTTACTTTCTCGCCATCATCTGCTGCCAGCAGATCCTTTGTCCGCATAATAAATTCATCACATAAAATTCTGATCCTGGCTCCGATCGATCCTACGCATTCCGCATACAAAATAGCCCAACAATTGAAACTCAACAGGGCGGACGCAAATGCTGAAAATTCAAATGTCATTCAAATAACGGCTGTCAAGACAATGACCAAGCACGAGGTCAGGACTCGAGTCCTGCGAACTGAATATGTATTTGGAGGGAGAAAGGAGAAAGGGAAATCTATCTGAAAGGTAGATGGAATGGAGTAGCAGGAGCAAAAGCAACGCCTGCTCCTCATTTTAAGAATGCAGAAAATAAATAGAATCTTCAAAAAACACTGCAAAAAAACCCTTAAATAAAACCAAACAATAATGAATATTTTTCTGTGGCATAGAAGAATACCTATATTTTTTTCACTGTATTATTTGAATGCGATAGGTCGGTCGGCAATATCCTGACACAGGATACATGTGCGTTTATTGTTATTATTTTCGAGTTCCATCCGGTTTGGCCTCAGCTGACTGACAGCCAGCGGACGAAGGCTACAAAAACAATCTGCATTCAGCCTCCTTTCAAAGGCGTCGATGATGAGGACGAAGCCGAACTACCGGCTGAGGACACGACTTCCTCCCCGCCAGCTAACCACAACAGATGACTATGGTCCTGTAGTCATGTTTCTGCACCGATAAGCGTGACATTTTCATATTGTCGGCGATCGCAATCTGAATTCTTGATCTAAATTCTGATTCCCCAGTCAGCCATGCCGTCCATTCATCTATTCACTTTGTCCTTGCTGGGCCTGAGGCCAATCACACGCTGACGGGATTAGTTCATGACAAGTTTTTTATCTGGGCTAATTGGACCGATCCACTCTTTGTCCTGCCAAGCAGACAGCCATGAAATCACAAGGCGATCTTCGGATAGGACAATCGCAAGAAAATAAGTCGCAAGTCCTTCAACATTCCTTATTCTTCTCTTGATAGCGTGCAATTGCCCTGAAATTTAAACCGACATTGATCCTAAGGTCATAATTTTGTTCTAAAAAATTTAATATTTACTATAGCTTTATATAAATTGTGATTTACAAACTAAAACTCAATGAAAAATATGAAAACTCTTGGAAATATTTTTCAATAAAAATACACTTTTTTCTTTCATATTTTAACTCCATCTTTTAAAGGAGTATTCCTTTTTCCCCCAGGCTCCAGAGACCCCAAAATAATTCCTGAACCGAAAGTGTAACTAAAGACTACCAGGAATTAGTGCATAACTTCATAACTCCAGAGTCGGCGGGAGCCAGGGCAGATGTCAAGCTGCTAAAGATCACACAGAGTTCAAACTATTCAAATGAAGGGTCCGGGTTCCAGGGAAAGCAAACAATTTCCCAAAGGATCAGACATAAGAAAATCATTTGTAAGCAATGGAGTGAGAAGGACTCTCCACCCTCAGTCTCAAGCCAAAGGGCAAGCAGGGTCTAGGGGCCCCTAAGAAATTCTAATGTCGCGTGTTGGCGCGTAAGATTTGTGTTTTCCGGGGTCGCATCCACCATATCCGAAGACCCGACCTGGCACAAAGGGTCGGGGCCTCGGGGTCGAGGCTCACTGGATTATAATAGGCTCATTTCCTCGCCTGCTCCTTGGGCTTCTGATTCTCTGCTCCTTGTGCGAGCGTAATAGCGTAAACATTTAACGGGAGCGTGCGCTGCGCACGCGCAACATTGCCTCACCCTTGGCCTCATGCAGATCCCGATCTTGGGTCCGCAGCATTGTTTGATTTCCTTAAGGCTTTGAGCGTCCTGTGATTGATTCACTGTTTGTTTTCATTGTCGTTTCTAGATTCTCCCCTGTACGCGATCAAAATCTTGTGGCTTTTTGTATGGTGCATAATAAGTCTTTGATGCGTCTTTGAGGGTGTAAGAGTCGGTTTAGGGAATGGGGGAGGACTCCATTGTTTAACTTTTCTAAGGACAGTTTTGAAAGAATCGAGAAAATTGAAAAAATCATTCAAAAACATGAAACATATATCAAAATAATACTTTACATGAAAATTTTGGTACATCTATGTATGAAAAAATTATTGAATCAGAAATGAACGAAATTCATTGATTGTGATCAGATTTTATTTTTTTTATAAGTTTTAATAACTTTGTAGGCAGAATTTTTGTAAATTAAAAGGAAAATTCTATGGAAATCGATTAGTTTCTCGAAAATAGCTTCTATAGAATATGTCCAGATTCCATTTGCCAAAGCCCGAAATTATGGAAGCCCTCAGTAAGGATAAACATTTTCTGAAATTTCTACGCCATCTATGGTATAAGAATCTATCTACGGAAATAATGAAGTAATATCCATTTTAGTGATAAAATCAATTGTTTGCTTTCAAAGGTTATATAACGAAAACCTTCGAAATCGTTGCAATATTCAGCTGCCTTAACACTTTCGTGGTTAATGTCCGCCTCCTCAGAAGTAATAACATGATACATGTGGCACGTTTAACACCTCCAATTCATAATGAATGAGTTAAGAGCATCAACAAACTAAGGGAGAACATATAGGCGGAGGACTACTCATACGTGGAGCCATGTGATGGGAGTCGTTCTAGGTGCCGGGTCGTCACGCCAGGGCTCCGCCCGCATGGCAGGACATGTGTTAATCAAGCAGCAACCTCAGAAGCGCATAACTCTGCTGCAGATGGACTAATTTCTGAGGAGACGGAGTTAGGAGCAGCTGCCCGGCGGACTAAAAATAGTGCGTGGCAAGTCGAGCCTGGGTTACAATTTATGTGACAGAACTATCGTGTTTGCGCTTAATTTTCATTTAATTTTTATGGGCGCCAAAAAATGTTTCAGGCGGCTGCTGTTTGGATCCTGAGGAGATCCCGGCCAATTCTGGCTATTTAGATGGTCCAAAGAAATACAATGTATTGTGAAAAGGTAACATGAGCTAAAAAACCAACACAAGACACAATGTGACAAGCAAATAGGAAGAGACAAACAAATGGAAAATTTAAAGAAAAGCGCAATTGTTGCAGAATCACAATTGAATGCAATCCGGAAGTGTCCTGCGTGGACAAGGATCGATGGCCATCATCCAAGTGACGTTAAGAGCTGCTCAAAAAGTGCTCCAGAGAGAAGTTCTCTCGGCCATCTTCGGGTGAGATCATCCCCTGAGGATCAACTCAACTCGAAACAAAATGAGTATAAGGTCTTTAGGGGATGTTCATTTTTGAACTCATTTGGTAGGCTCAACTCAAAGAAAATTGAGTGGTATTCAGTCAGATAGGTTCAGATTCCAGAATTGCCTTAAGTAAGGCCAGACTTGACCTCAAAGATGACCTCAAAAACGAAAGATGTTGAGATAGTTAAAGGAAGACGCGCGCGTTGCTCCTTTTCTGCATCGGCATCCTTCGGGTCATTTTCTGACCTTTTCTCCTGGCACCCGCTTCAATTGTCTTTCGAGCGGGATCGTTGACAAAAGGTTCAGGACATTGCCATAAATGTGATAAAGATTGTTTTTGCTCTTTGTCCTTTTTTGTGCAATTGCTTGGACACCGTGCCATAAATTGGCCTTTGACCGGCCATCGTTGATCATCGGCTAGGGGTTTGGATGGAAAAAAAACGTTGAATGATGCCTTAATTGAGGACACGGCAGCTGAAACTAGTCACTTCTTTAGAAATTGGCCCAGCAATTGTGGGTGTTTAGATCAAAAGATCGCCTTTTTACCAAATCTATAGTTTTATATCTAACACATGTAATACTTCAGATTACAGAAGTAAACTTTCAAATATATCTTGTTGGGTTTTTTACAATTTTTATTTCTTAAATAGCAAATAGTATCTAGCGGCTTAACAGATAATAAAACTTAAAATAAAATTGGTAGATTTATATATAAACATTGATATTAAAATAGTAAAATTCATAACTGACGCATAAGTACACTTTAAAATTTAAAAAAAAATCCACTAAGCTTAAGAAAACAGCTTCTTGGCAAACTAAAAATCGTTAATAAGAATCTAAGGATGCAAAATATTATACCCAAGAGTTGAAACTTTTATAAAAATTTGCAAAAGCAATACTTTACAAAATTCTTTACCCAATCAAAACGTATGCAAATGAATGCTATTTACATCTCTAATGAAAAGTGTGAATAATTGGAAAATATTACATTCCCCATCGAGGCAACAAAAGGAACGCAACCAACAAAAAAACGGAAACAATTGCAATACAGCTTGGCTTCAAATGCAGAATTGACTTTAAAAAATTTTTTTTAATTTTAATGAAGAACGTGACAAATTGGGCACAACGTTTGCCATTAAATTAGAAAAAATAAGTTGGATTCCTCAAAAACCGAACTCTATTCATGTTATGCATAGACGCTAGCAGAAAAAATAAGTATCCTATCAAAAAATCTTAACCATAACTGTTAATAAACTTATTAAAAAAACAAATAATATTAAACCTAGGGGGAGATCAAACATTTTTTACGACTCCATCATATTTTTACCTTACAATGTATAATTATCATTAAAGTTGGCCTAAACTGGTTATAAAAGTTTATAAAACATTGATTTAACAAAAAAGTTAAAAGTTTATAACCAATTTATTAAAGTATAAAGTTTATTAAACACCAAAAGACTTGAAAATTACCCATTCTTGTGAAATTGTTAATATATTTTAAATTAAAATTTTCAATTTAGAAAAATATACATTTTTATGAATTAATATTTATTAGTACTATTTATTTACTTATATTTTAAGTTTAATTATTTGAAATCAATGTTTTTAAAGTCTAAACCAAAAGACTCCTTAAAATAAATAAAAGAAAAGTTTTCTTCCGAATATTTAAACATTTTAAATTTCCCGGCAGTGTGACCATTAAAGCACTTCTTCTGATGCATATTTTAGTACATTTTGGATATTGGTGCGCTGAGTGCGCTGCCACACAGCTAAAATCATACAATTTAGTTTTACAAAACAAAACAAAATGAGTCAATATAGCCACGTTAAGTATACTCAGTCGCCAACGCCGTCTGTGGTCTCCGGCTACTCCAGCGCCTCGCGGCTCCATTCGCCGCTGCCGCCGCCGGTCAACCACCGAAAAGACTGCCTGTCGGCGACGACCAAAAGCTATAAGTATCTGAGACGACTGCTAAAGTTTAACCAAATGGACTTCGAGTTTGCTCTGTGGCAGATGATTTATCTCTTCGTGGCGCCCCAAAAGGTCTACAGGAACTTCAACTACCGAAAACAAACCAAATCTCAGTTCGCCCGCGACGACCCAGCTTTCTTGGTGCTATTGGTGATCTGTCTATGTGGTAAGTGTGCTTATCAACTCCCACCCCCACAGTTGACGAGCCACCTATGTATCTTCCCCCAACATTTAATTACACCATTTTGCTTATAGTTGGAAGAAGAATCCATACATAATAACTTTTGAATCTTTTACAGTCACATCTCTGGGATTCGCCTATGTATTGGGACTCTCTTTCTGGCAGAGCATTTCCTTCATCTTCTACGTGGTCTTTGTGGACTGCATCTTTGTGGGCATCATCATCGCCTCCTTCTTTTGGGCAGTTTCGAACCGGTATCTTCGAACAAACAGCCTGGAGCCGGATATTGAATGGGGATATGCCTTCGACGTGCACCTGAACGCCTTTTTTCCGCCTTTGATGCTGTTGCACTTCATTCAGCTATTCTTTTACAATTGGCTTATCAGCCAGACGTGGTTTATTTCACGGTTCCTGGGCAACACGTTTTGGCTGCTGGCTATGGGCTACTATGTGTACATCACCTTCCTGGGATACAATTGTGCGAGTTTATCTATATACTAGAAGGACTGTATATTAATTATCTTCTGTTTACAGGCATTCCTCATCTGAAAAACACACGCATCATACTCATTGCGTTACCAGTCATCTTCCTCCTCTACCTAGTCGTCACAATTATTGGTTGGAACGCCACGATATCCTTTGTAAATTTCTACAAGTACCGCGTTTATTAATTATGTGACGAGAATTGTAAATTATTTTGGCGTTTAGCTACTAAGCAACCACGAGTATGACTAATAAAATATTTAATTTAGACTTATCAAAACCCCACAGTTTATGTAATTGTAAGCCGAAGTTTTGTAATTTTGTTTTAATAGTCTACAAGTAAACAAAAAGGGCAATTACGCCAGTTGCTTTGGTTTAACAAAGGTACGCTTCCGCTTGTTTCGCTTGCGCTGAAGCTCCTGGGCGTGGAGTTCGGTGTACACTTCAGCGAAGATCTCTGTCTGTTCCTCCTCGGGTATTGTGGCGCGGTACTGTTTCATCAAATCATATTTCTCCCACGGCTTCTGCACTCTGGCGGCAGACTTACGATGTTTGTCCTTCAGATACTGATCAATGTTGGCGACTCCACGCAAATTTTGACGCTCCCAGCGTTCAAGCCAAGGGCGCGGACGTAGCACTACCTTAATGTCATTAACCGGGACAGGCGCGCCCTCCTCCAACTGCTCGGGCTCCATGTTTTCGTCGAAAGTACTGTATTCCGGAAGAGCATCTCGCAAATAAAAGAGACTGTCATCCAGGCGCTTTTCCAAACGCAAAACTTCCACCTTTTGGAGGGTGGGATCGTACAGCTCATAGATCACTTCTATTCCTTGGTGATCAATCACGTTTCGGAGAATGAAGCGTGCGCGCAGTCCACAGCCATCCCGATGGATGCAGATACCCACGAAACGACTAACCTTTCCCTCTGCGTGCGGATCGGAACTAGTCACCGCCATAATGGAGCCAACATAAAACTCTGGCAGGTCAATTTGTCGGCGCCGGTCCAACATGTCCATGCGTTCAAGCTTTTCGCGGATCGGATTCCGCCATTCTATCTTGGGATCAGGCAAAAACTCCGGGTATATGAACCGATAATTGGCTGGTATAATAGGTTTTCGGATAGGAACTGATGCTTCCGCGGCATTAGAAGCTGGTGCTTCCTTAGTCTTCTGCTCCTTTTGTGTTTCTACGGCATTCGCGGCAGCATGTTCCGCCGATTTTGTGGAAAATGTAACTAAAAAACATGTTTGCTGAATTGAAAGTATATAAAAACATGAACTACTTACCAATTCGACTGAGGCCGCATTGTTTTCCCAGTCTATTTATCAACAATCGAGTGCTCACGTTCATTTTTAATATTTCCTTTTCATATATTCCCAAAAATGTTTAGATAATCATGCCGCAATCAGCTGCAACGCAAGGCAGTGTGACCAGGTCTGTAAATCAGCTTATTGGCTATAAATATTTTAAATGATTGAAATATTATTTAAACCTCCTTATTGTGGCGGTTTCTAGTAAAAAAAAACATTTTACGTTTTTTATTTAAGTTACTATTAATGAATTTCGTTACATTCGCGATATATTTAATTGTCTTTGAATCCTGACCCCTTTTATCTACGACTCTGTTCAATATTTTTTCCCCAAGTTGGTAGTCCTCAAAATCAGCTGTTTCATTTTTGGAATGTAAAAAAATTGTCAGTGTTTTTACCAACAAATCACCGATCCATGGACGATCAAATAGTTATGTGAGTGGCTATGTAGCAATCACAACGAGCGCTTCTGTGATTCAAGTGTGATTATTGGCTAGCCTCGATATTTTGAGGGGCAACGTGATACTTCTGCAGCCAAACGAGGTTTCTGTTGCGGGATACCGCAACTTGATTCGCAACCACAGAAAAAACGGGTAGATTACGGATCATGTTAAGCCAACTACTCCCGGTCTACGTTGGGGGCACGATTGTACGGGGATTCGGACGAGGCTCCAAAGAGCTGGGCATTCCAACAGGTTGGTGCAAGATAAAGATAGCCCTAAAGGCCATTGCTTACTGACAACACTACTTTTGCATATTAGCTAATTTTCCGCTTGAGGTGGTGAAAGCCCTGCCCGATTCCCTCCCAACGGGCGCCTACTACGGCTGGGCCAACGTAAACAACGGAGAAGTTCACAAAATGGTGCTTAGCATAGGCTGGAATCCGTTCTACAATAACAAGGAGAAGAGCGTGGAGACACACATGCTGCATGACTTTAACTGCGACCTTTACGGCGAAACTCTCAAGATATGCATTGTAGGCTACCTGCGACCGGAGCGGAGCTTCGAATCGCTTCAAGAACTGATAGACGCCATCCAGGCGGATATCGCGAAGGCCAAAGTGCTGCTGGATGAGCCGGAGAAAGCCAAACTGAAAGAGTCTTGTTATTTTACCGAGAATCCCTGCCGTGAGAAATAACTTACAATATATACCGCGATATATAAGTATATATATATAAAGCGCGTATATTTTTATATACATACGTATATACACGTAGCACGTAGCACCCAGCGAAATTGATATGCCAATACATGTACTTAACCTGACGTCACATTAAAATCTTATATTTTCACCACGACCCATAAGAAAATTCAAGTGCATTTCAATCAATAAAAACTTATTTCACCACCTTTACAAAAATTACAGAGTTTCTAAAAATTGTTTCGAATATAAAAGCTTTCTTCTATCACTGTTTTATAAAGCCAATGTGATACGATTTAACAGATTAATAGATTAATATTACAGTTTTTAGACTCATCATCGTGATTTCATGGAATTATAATCTTTGCCCGTATTCAAGTAATGTCAATAGATATGTTATTACAGACATTGATTTTAATTGATAACGTTTCCTTACGCAATAGTGACTTGACAATATTTTTCCCTATATTCTGCAAAAAGTACTTATTTGAAAATCAGAAGTAAATTGTACATATTCGAATCATAATTCTTTTTTACATAAACTGAAAAATCTATCTCAGAAAATAAACTTATTATAAAAATTAAAAACATATTGACTTTATTTAATAAAATAAATTGAATTCCTTGCAAACTTTGCACATAAAACGTATAATATCTTGTTATTATATTCATGATTGTGAACTATTCGATGTTATATAAATCAAATTGGAAATTGATTAATTGGTTTAAATTTGGGCAATAGAATTTCAAATTTGTTTGTTAATTGGCGTAAAGATTGACCGAAGCTAACAATCGGAATTAAGAAAAATATCTATAGAACGTTTTCAAAACACTACAAAATTCATACATAACCGATCTTAAAATGAAAAGTAATAAATCAAGACAGTAATTCTATTGATTTAAGTCGCAAAAGTAATACAAATGGTATATTTAAGCGATCAAGCCGCGGTCACACTGGGCTTGATCACCACCGAATTTAAGCTGCGCGTTTGAAGCGTGCGAGGATTTTCGTCTATAAAACCGTTGCGTAAACCACCAGGTAAATCAGTTACCTCTTATTAGAGCACATACTACGATCTTGCACTGAATTCTTGCAATTTTCCAATCAGCAACATGGATCAGCGTGCAGAACAACAACATCAGCATGTGCGCGTGGTCGAGCAACAGCAACAACAAAAGCAACAGGTGGAACCAGCTGGGGAGGTGGAACCAGTAACCTGCGATACCCTATCGATCTCGGCCAGCAAGGAACTAACAGGTTTGACCCACGAGTGCGGGGTGTTTGGAGCGATTGCTTGCGGGGATTGGCCGACGCAGATCGATATTGCTCACGTGATCTGCCTTGGACTGGTGGCCTTGCAGCACCGTGGGCAGGAATCCGCGGGTATAGCCACCAGTGAAGGAAAGTGCTCAAAAAATTTCAACGTTCACAAAGGAATGGGCATGATCAGTACCCTCTTTAATGATGACTCGATGAAGAAGTTGCGTGGAAATCTGGGTATAGGGCACACTCGCTACTCCACAGCAGGAGCTTCGGAAGTGGTCAACTGTCAGCCCTTCGTGGTGCACACTGCTCACGGAGCCATGGCCCTTGCTCACAACGGCGAGCTGGTCAACAACGAATCTCTGCGGCGCGAGGTCTTGGCCCGAGGTGTGGGCTTGTCAACCCACAGTGACAGTGAGCTCATTGCCCAATCCCTTTGCTGCGCTCCCGAGGATGTTTCCGAACTAGACGGACCTAACTGGCCGGCCAGGATCCGGCACTTTATGACGCTGGCTCCTCTCTCTTATTCGCTGGTTATCATGCTCACGGATAAAATTTACGCAGTCAGAGATACCTATGGAAATAGACCATTGTGCATTGGAAAGATCGTTCCCATCAATGCTGGCCATGGAAACAGAGCGGATACCCCGGCTGATGGTTGGGTGGTGTCCAGCGAGAGCTGTGGCTTCCTGTCCATTGGAGCCAGGTATGTTCGCGAAGTGGAACCCGGAGAGATTGTGGAGCTGACGAGAAGTGGCTATCGCACTGTCGACATCGTAGAGCGTCCAGATTTCAAGCGCATGGCCTTTTGCATCTTCGAGTACGTGTACTTTGCTCGCGGAGACAGCATTTTTGAAGGTCAAATGGTGTACACTGTCAGACTACAGTGTGGTCGGCAGTTGTGGCGGGAGGCTCCCGTCGAGGCGGATATCGTGAGCTCAGTTCCCGAGTCTGGAACGGCGGCGGCACATGGTTATGCGCGCGAGTCGGGCCTGGAGTTTGCTGAGGTTCTCTGCAGGAATCGTTACGTGGGCCGGACTTTTATCCAGCCATCAACCAGATTGCGGCAACTGGGAGTGGCAAAGAAGTTCGGAGCTCTATCTGAGAACGTTGCTGGAAAGAGATTGGTGTTGATAGATGACTCAATCGTGCGGGGAAACACCATTGGGCCGATCATCAAGCTGCTGCGGGATGCTGGAGCGAAGGAGGTGCACATTCGCATCGCTAGTCCGCCACTGCAGTACCCCTGCTATATGGGAATAAACATACCCACGCGTGAGGAGCTCATTGCTAACAAGCTGGACGCCAATCAGTTGGCTCGTCACGTAGGCGCTGACAGCCTGGCTTATCTCAGCGTGGAGGGTCTAGTAGAAGCGGTCCAACTGAAGAATCAAGCTGGCGGGGATGGCAAGTCCAAACCTACTGGCCACTGCACCGCCTGCCTCACTGGACAATATCCGGGTGGGTTGCCTGACGAGCTGAGCTGGTAACTCCAGGAAAAAAACAAAAGAAAACTGTTGCAACAAACCAGTTGCATGCTGCTTTACATGAACCCACAAAAAAAAAAAAGATCGCACACAGTATCCAAAGCCACAGAGGGCTCGAAATTGCTGTCACAAACTTTGCATTTAGTTAGTTTAGCTATAGCACAGCCATACCTATTTACCCTTTTTATACACTTTTAGATTTTAGGTAACAAGCTCTTGCTTCTCTCCATACTCCAAAAGACAATTGCCCTTGGAACTTTATAAAAATAGTACAAACTAGTAGCCCTCGATGTTGCCAATTTTGAATATCATATTTCCTCATTTACGATTACCAATAAAAAGACATTTAGACAATAAGACCTGTGGACTTATTTTGTTGGAGGCCTCCAAAGTATGGAATTACATAAACCCATACCCAGAAATGTGCAGCTCTGGCCAAGGTGTGCTCACTCAGCCGCCTCGAATGGGTCAAAATCGTAATGCATCATTTCATAACAAAAACAAGTGGCGCAGCGGGCAATTCTTTTAAGCTTATATTTTATTTAAACTTTTAAGCCTTTTCACAAGGTAAAGGTTCATAATATTTGAATCTTTTTAATCACTATATTTCTTAAATGTTAAGGATAAACTTACGTGTGCTTATAAAATAGAAAATAGAATAGAATAGAATATAAAATATATTCAGGATGTTTAGGATTCCAGCATATTTTCAAAGTCCTTAAGCTCTAGCTCTCTTTCGATGACCTGAGTATAGAGATTATCTAGAGTTTCCTGCATACGAGACTTGAGCGTGGCATTTTGAATGGAGGCGATTTCTGTTGACTTTTGAGACTGTTGTGCTTTCAGCTCACTTATCTGTCGAGTGAGTTGGTTGATCTTCTCGCGTACCTGCTGCTGGGTGTACTGGGGCTCTTCCATAAACTCAAGGTTTTCAAATTCTTCCCGCTTCAGCATTTGATTCTCAAAGAAACCACCTGGGGCAGCCAGATTGGAACTCGAACCAGCGGCACTGAGCTTTGGACTACTCGCCTCTTGGCTAAACATGGATTTGGTGAATTCGTTCTGGCCCATTTTCATGCCACTGGTTCCAGCACTGGTGCCACCAAAGAAATCAGACATGCGCGAATCATCAGCAGAGAGACGAGAGGATTCCTCCAACTCCCGACGCTGCATTGTAGTGTTCGTGCGATCCGGCTCATCTTCGTCGTCGGTGGTGGACACTTCTTCGCCAAAGATATCGTGCTCAGCCACGCCCATATTAGGTGCTCGATGAGCTCCAAAGTTGTTGGAGTCGTCCTCATCCGATTCAACATTAATATCTCTTTTCATAGTCTTCTCTACTTTAACCTTGGAGTGCGCAGGTGTCTCATCAGGAATGTAGTCGTCCACGTCGTTAAATGGCTTAATATCCGACTGTTCAAGATCGTCCATGGGCTTCTCTTCCTCATTAATGATTTCATAGTCTACCCGCACAGCTTCATTGTCAATTCGGAGAAGATGCTTCACTTCCTTCTCAATTTCGGGAGCTTCTACGTTCTTTTTCTTTAGAGTCTTTCGAAACCGACGTTTTCTTACATTTTTACAAGGAGGAGTTATTCCATGAGGGAAAAGATACTTTTTGTCCACTTTGTTTGGGTCTTTCTTTTTGTTTTTGTTTGGCGACTCCTTTTCCGTGTCATCTTCAGGTTCTTCTTTACAAATAAGTAATTGGCAGATGTCAGCGGATTTATAAAAACTCTTGTTGTCGATGGTCTTGTAGCTCTCAACGACGGTAGGCAGGTCCACTAGCTTGGCGTATAGCAGTTGATCATCTAATCTCACTTCTCCGTATCGCAGATCTTGGTCAAGTTGGATAGTCAGTCGATCTTTTATGTTTCCGGAATTTATGGCATCGTGAACGTTATCTGCGAGCTCCTGGAAAGTTCATCAACAATTATCCACCGGCCCTTCAAAAACACTAGAGAAGATTCGGTTACCTTTGGAACTCGCAGGATGAACTGACTCTCTAGCTCAACGCCATCTTCTCGCGGCTTATAGTCCGCCTGCTTTCCCTTTTCACTCTTTTTTTCAAACATTTTAATACGCTTAATATGACAAAAACACTTTATCAAAAGTAAACACTCTAGATTTTTCCTACGTGGTGTTGAAAAACGATTATTATTATTAGAGGTGGTACAGATCGTAATTAGAGGCGTGATATGAATAGTTTCTTTAACATTTTTTACTTATTTATAGATCTTTATAATTTTTGAACTTTAGATTTTTGTGATTATGTTATTTTTTATGCATTAATTAGCTAAAAAGTTAGTCACTCTTAGTAGTTAATTCCTATAACTTGCCGGTATCGCACAATTAACTTATCCATTGACCAACACTGGTCGTGACCGACAAAATATCGAACCTAATGTAGTGTGATTACCACCCCTGCTCTAATTTCTTCTCATCTATTTTGCAGTGACGGATAAAACGAATTAATGTTGAATTCCGTTAATTTATAACACAAAAAAGCATTGCGAGTTACATTTTTGGCGCTTGCGTCAGTCGAAGAGGAGAAGCTAGGCATAAAACATGATGGATAAAAAGTTTGGTGCCGGTCTAGGGTTCGCGGTCCTGCTTTTGGTGGGTGCCTGCTCGGCACTGTATGAAGACCAGATCAAGAAGTTCGACTGGTAAGTGGCGTGATGACCATGAATGACCATTGACCCGGGAGGTAACGTGGATATTTTATCTATTTTCAGGCGAGCAGAGAATGTGGGAAAATTGCAGCAGTCGGTCGTCGACCTTAACCACTTCCAGCCACGAATCCTGCTAAGCACTGAGGAAGGAGTGGTAGCCAGTGTAAATGTTAAGACTGGTGATCTGGTATGGCGACAAGTTCTGGAGCAAAAGCCACGTGGAGCTATCAAGCTCCTACAAGTGAGCGGGTTTTCCGATGAAAGCAGCGACACTGCCGCTGCTCCAATTGGCAGCAATCTTGGCTTCGACATGCTAACAGTACAAGGACACGCGCCAGCTCTGGTGCGAGGGTGGAATAGCAACTTGGGTGCCATCGAGTGGGAATGGTCCACCATGCCCCTGAATACGGAACGCGCCCAGGAAGCGTTGTGGTTCTACAGCCATTCCGTGCTTTATCATGTAGTACCGGCTTGGCGAAGCCATCTTGAGGTCACCGCTTACTTTGCAAGCTCTGGCCATAGTACTGGTAGCAGTAGCAAAGTTATTGCATCTTGGATCACCGCAGAGTCATGCCTGCTCTGTGGCAGCTACTATGTTTGCTTAGATGGCAAGCAGCTGATCAGCATCGATCTGGCCTCGAAGAGCGGTCAGGTGATTCGTACAACGCTCGAGTCGCAGCCCCAAGGAAAACTGAAGGCCCTGGCGGTAAGTGAAATTCAAAACCTTATTTCCAATCACTTTTTAAATTGTGTCTTCTCATAGGGGCTCAGTGGCGTGGTTATTGTCGATGGAAAGTTAATTAGCGTGAACAAGGACCAATCTGTATGCAACAGCCTACAAAGTTCCAGCTATGCTGTAGGCAGCTTCAACTTCCGTAAAATTGTGGTTTATGCTGATCTTGCATCTAACGTATGTATTCTTACTGAATATTGAAGAAAATGTAATTTATATATATGCTTATTGACCTGCAGATCCTCAAAATAAATGCTGTGTATCTTGACAACTGTTCGCCGGTGGTTGAGCTGGAACAGAGCTTACCTTTCCCCGAGCATTTCGGCACTCCCCAGCTCAACAGCTTCGATTGCATGCATCGTAAGAGCGGGGACGGTAAAGGATGTCTATTTCTCTTGAGCACCAGTGCCGAATCCATTGTCGCTGTGCAGCAAGGCAAGATCCGCTGGTCGCGCGAAGAATCCTTGGCTAATGTGATTGATTCTCTGTTTGTTGATCTACCTCTGGCTGATTCTGAGGGAACTTTGGAGAGAGAAATGAAGGGCAAAGCCGGTAAGTTATGTTTACAATAATTCTTATTTCTGAAACATCCTTAAAATATGTATCTTTAACATTCCTAACATTGCTTACCATAGGGGATTTTAAAAGTTTTGATAGTAAGTCTAAGAATATTAGGAAACCCTTATCTAGTATGTTCAAAAATGTGAGACTTAGTTCTAATTAAAAATTTAATTTTTGCAGGAGACATTGCTAGTGCCTTCTTAAGACGTATCACCACGCAAGCCGTTCAGATCAGAAGTTTGTTCCTTCATGTTATTGGCTTGGGTCCTCCACCCACTGCTACTCAGCGAGCCGGCCTCGTTCGCGACTCCTTTGGCCTTCACAAGATGCTAGTCTTGCTCACGCAAACTGGAAAGATTTTCGGCGTGGACAACATTTCGGGAAAGCACCACTGGCAGTTGTACCTTCCAAATGTCATAGGGTTCGATAACGCCGAAAATATGCGATTGATTGTTCAGAGATCGGCGAAACATTTTCCACTGCAGCCACTTTGCACTATTTTGGCAAAGGATGTCGTAAGTTAAAAAAGGATATACGTGTATATTTTAATAAAATGGTCTTAATTTCTTTGCAGGCTAATGGAAATGGTGTTCTGTATCGCTTCAATCCAATTACTGGACTCGCCGCAGAGGGCGGATTACTTCAACTAGATTATAAAATCAAGCAGCTTTCATTGTTGAAAGAGACCGAAAAGGACTTTGTTAGGGGTATTCTATTATTAGATGCTTCTAACGAAGTTCATGTGTATCCTCAGCATGCCACGCCTTTGGTAAGCTATTTATTAAAGAAAAATCCATCTATAACTATGCATAATCTTCATTATCGACCCTTTCAGGCCGACGGTCTTTACCTTTATACTGCTGATGTTAAAACCGCCGAGCTGTATGGTTATTTTGTAAAATATGCGGGAGGGGTGAGTATCTCTTCGTTTCACTCAGTGCGACAATCAACTAATTTAATTATATTACGCTGCTAGAAACTGTCCAGCACACACATTTGGAACGCTCGACTGGGAGGCCACAACTCCGAGCAGCAGATTATCGGAGTAGCTGCCAAGAACCCCATTGAACACGTCCACTCACAGGGACGTGTGCTCGGTGATCGTTCTGTTTTGTACAAGTATATTAATCCCAATCTGGTTGCGTTTGTCACTCAGGCGCCGGATGCCACCCACAAATGTAAGTCTGCGTGCAGTTGTTAAATCTTGAATACAATTAAATTTTATTCATCAGCCGTGCTTAACTTATACCTGGTTGATGTGGTCTCCGGCTCTGTGATTTTCACCATGACGCATCGCAAGGTGCGCGCTCCACTGAGCATTGTCCACTCAGAAAATTGGCTGGCCTACTCATACTTTAATGAGAAGGTTCGACGAACTGAGATCAGTAAGTTCCGTGTCTTTAGTTAAATGAAATGCTAATTAAAAATTTTCCTTTTAGCGACTATTGAACTGTATGAAGGAAAAACTCAGGCCAACAGCAGCGTCTGGAGCTCTTTGCAGGCTCCGCCAATGCCCCTTGTAGAGCGCCAGTCTTATATAATCCCTACCCTCGTTGAGGTCCTGAGGGAAACGATAACAGAGCGCGGAATTACCAACAAACATGTTTTGAGTGAGTTGTAACAAGCCATTCCCTTTTACTCGATAATTACCTTTATTTTGTCATTTTTCTAGTTGGCACTGCCAGCGGATCTATCGTTGAAATGCCATGGCACTTGTTGGATCCTCGACGGCCAATTGCTTCCACAACGCAGGGACGCGAAGAGGGCGCGATTCCCTATATACCCGAGTTGCCTTTGCCTACCGAGAGCTATATAAACTATAACCAGACGGTAGCACGCCTGCGTAACATTTATACCGCTCCCAGTGGTCTGGAGAGTACCTGTCTAGTCGTTGCCACCGGTTTGGGTAAGTGAATGTTTGAAATCGGACTAGCAGATGGAGTCAAAACTATGTACTCTTTACAGATTTGTTTGTTACGCGAGTGGCGCCATCAAAGACGTTCGATTTGTTGAAGGAGGACTTCGACTATATTCTAATTTCCATTGTGCTAGTCGCGCTCACATCGGGTTCGCTGATTGTTAAGCATTTAGCTTCGCGTAAATTGCTCAAGCAGGCGTGGAAATAGGCGTAGCATTATTAAATAATTGCTTTACATACAAAAATATGTTTACTACGACCAAATATAACAAGGGAGAACGGCAGAAAGTAAAAAAAAGAGGACGCCAATGGCAATGAAAACACTGATATAAATAATATTAGTCTTGTAGCTGCATTGTACCCATAAAGAAAATAAGTTTTTTTCTCAACGCTAAGCCTAGGAAATTTACCACAAATAATTATATAGCGTTAAACATCAAATAATTATAATTAGCTGTTGGAACGAGGGGTTTTATTGCATTTTCTGAGCCAATGATTTATGTTCGTTTGTATTTCCATAAAAGGAAATGAATATATCAGCATTAAAATTGTTTAAAAACTTGAATAAATAAAAACAATTAGTTAATAAAAAAATGTGTAAAGGTGGACACGGGTAAAGCAAATAAAGAAGTTTTTCAACAAATAAATACCTGGCCTTTTCTTCTGTCTTTATTATTAAATAAATTTATAATTGTTAAATATAAAATTTAAAATTTCCGCCAAATTAAAAGTTGTTTTCCAACACTGACTTGATGTCCATGTGCAGCTGACATATCAGCTGTTTCTGTCTTCTTTTCCTGGCCGTGCATTTACAACTTAAAACTATGGCAGTGCGCGTTTTTGGCGTAAATTTAATTAAAAATAACAGAAATTTGCTGCAAAATGTCTGTAAAAGCCCTGCCACGACCATGGGTCACACGGTGAGTTCAAACAAAGTTCCAAAACAGCCTCTATTATTGATGATTTGCTTTTCGGTCTTTCCACAACGTTTGCATAACCTCGTAGGCGGTAGCTCAATTGGCCACCGAAGTGACTGTCCAGGCTTCGCCGGCGGCTGTACAGAAGCAAAAGGTCAGCAAGGCTATGCGAGCGTATCTCAAGAGAGCCAACGAGCACGATGAGTTCATGAAGACCCAACATCTGGAGTTCCAGATCGGCAAACGACACTTGGCCAACATGATGGGTGCTGATGCTGAGACATTCACACAGGAAGACATCAATGTATGTACAATCATAATTGTCTTAAAAATTATATTTAATACTTTATCATTGGCAGGAAGCTATTGCTTATTTATTTCCATCCGGCCTGTATGACCCCAAGGCCCGGCCTGCCATGAAATCGCCGGAGGAGGTATTCCCCGCCCGGAAAGCTGCCGAGTTTGATGAGACAGGCAGGCCCTTCCACAGCATGTTCTACACCGGCAAGCCCAATTTCTTCCAGCTGCTGCACGTGAGTTTAATATACATTATATTTTATCAACCATTTAACTTAAGGAGCTTCATTTCAAGGATATTGTGGAGGAAACTAGGAAATTGGCAGATTTGGAAGAGCGTATGCTTAGGCGCGGGAACAAACCTGATGAGAACCAGAAGCTGTAAGCCAACTTTAACTTAAATTAAGTCCAATTTTTATTTCAAGCGTTTTTAAACCACAGAGAGACGTCAGGCTTCCAGCTTTTGCCGAAGGACCAGTTGGAAATTGTTCTGGTAGAGAGCATTGCTGACATTGAGTACTCTAACTTCACAAACTCAATGGAACGGCTTATTGCCTCGCCATATTCCTACAAAAGCAAGGCGTTCATTGAGCGCTTTTTGAAGCCGTTGTTGGACCAATCCAAGCAGCTGGAGGTGCCCAAGCCGAAGATCGACGAGGAGGGCCGCCAGTTCATAACCACATACGAGTGTCTGCGAAAGACGGCAAGAGCCGATGTAACGATTCGGTTGCCGGGCACAGGCAAGATCAGCATTAATGGAAAGGACATATCCTATTTCGAAGACGAAAACTGTAGGGAACAGGTGAGCTATACTGTACTAAGAAGCATACATTAGTTATTTTACTGACCTTAAGGGTCCCCTCCCCCAACTTACTGGTTAGCGCCACCAAAAATTGAACTCTTTATACAAATTGGTATAGCATATACTTTATTAAAAATAGACACATTTATTTAATTAGGATTTAAACAATTCTCTGACGACTACTACTCCAAAACGACAAAGACACAGCCTGTAACCAGCAACAAATCAATCCTGCCAACTGTCCGTCTCTAATTCAAATAACCTCTAGTTACACAATAATATTTGTAGGGATAAATAACTGCTAGTTCAACAATAGTACTTGTATGGATAATAGTGTTGTATGCTGTGTTATGGCTATATTGTATAGGGCGCCAAGCGCTTCGATATCAAAATTAGATTAACTACAGTTTGCTACTACGATAATATCAACAATATTCTGGGACTTAACTGGAATCCTTTGCGGATTACCTTACGTCTACGTCTAGAAAACTACTATTTCCGCAAATTGTGCTTTTGCTGGTTGGAAATGACAATTAGCAGCTTGTCGATCACCTTGCTCGCCTGCTGCTGCTGCGAAATGAGGGCTTGCTTCAGCTCCTGGATCTCCTGGGTGAGGAACTCGATTCGGTCCGCGTTGTCGTCGATTTTGGTAGTCAGGGTATTAAACTGCCCGGCATCTGGGTCCGCATCGGGCAGGACGTACCCAGTGGTGGCGCAACCATTATTGTTATTGTACTTGTTCTTGTACGACAGATAATTCTCAGCCGAGTTCTTCGAGGAGATAGTGTGTCCGAAATGCTTCCGCATCTTCCCGACCTCGTAGGCTTTCATAAGTATGTCCCTGGGTAGGCGTTTTTCGCTGGGATTTAAGGGCTTGACGCACAACACCACCCTATAGGCTTGTGGAGAAACTAGGGCCGTGTAGTGCAGTAGATTCCTCAGCCAGGTGGGCAAGTAGCCGTTGAACAGAGCCGACTCTATGTAACTAATCAGCTTAGTCTGGCGCACCAGCTTCGACAGGCCCGCCGTCTTTTTCAATCCCTGGATATCGTGGACAGCGATACCCACTAGAAGATTCATCAGGATGATGGTCACGAACAGAAGGAACAGCACGAACGTGATCTGCGCACTGACTTCCAGTAGAAAGGGAGGGTCCTTGCCCTCGGGATCGTTGATTAGTAGCGACAGATCCTGTTCGCCGATCATCATAACCAGAACCGTGATGAAGCCCATGAATGGATTGGCGAACGAGGAGGACGATGGAAAGATCACGCAGAAGCTAATGGTGAAACCGATCAGCATGCAGGAATAGGCCATGAACAGCTTGGCGAACTCTCCTTGGACCCGGGTGTACATGGCCACGTAGACGTCGAAGACCGGCAGCTGGCCAATCATTAACATAAGATTGGTCCATCCAAGGAGTACCGCAAAGGCGCCAATGTGGTTTTGGAACGTGTACGTCTGCTTGGTGTAGATGTAGGATATGACAAAGACACTGGTGATCACGAACCACTCCATTATGTTCTCCACTTGCGTGACGTAGTGCTTGAACGAAGAATACCCTGTAATCCCGTATAGTTTTCGAAATATCTCCACTATGGTGATGGCAACCAGCACCCACCACTGCATCTCCATCACGAAGGGGTTGTTGCGCAGCATATCGCCCAGGATGGACTGCTTTTGGCACAGCTCCTGGGCCTGGATAGTCGTGTTGTCGTCCTTGCTCCCATTGTAGCAGTTGTGGGCCAGGGCCGTCAGCACGTATAGCGTGAGGAAGAGCACGAAGCTGAAGCAGAATATCAGTCGGCCGATGTAGTACTTCCTGATTTTGCCCCACTTGATGTAGAGGAAGGAGGAGCACAGTGGATGCTCCAGGATCTCCTTCTGGCCTTCGTCGACAAATGTGTTCAAGTAGCTGATCTCGCGCGGATGGCAATGCTGCAGCAGCTGCCGAAAGTCGAGCTCCAGCTCCACCTCGCGGTTCACTGGATCCTAAAAAGGAATCACACAATTTAGATATAATATACTAACCTATATAATAATACTAACCTGCGAGTGGTGCAGGGTAATGGCCGCATCCAGTTTCTGCCTGATCATGGCCACAGAAGCCGGGGTTTTCCTGGTGATCACGTTCAGGGCAGAGGTCCCCTTCTTCGACTTGGTGGTCACATCCGCCCCGTGGAATATCAGCATCTCCACACACTGAACCAATCCGTCCAGCGCTGCCAAGTGGAGAGCCGTAAAGCCATAGATGTCCTTGTGGTTGACATTGGCACCCCACTGAATGAGGGTCTCCATTATGTCGTAGGCGTTCTCCGATTTTCCCACGGCTGCGTGGAGTGGAGTACGATGGTCAAAGTCCTCGGCATTGGCATCGGCATTTCCATTCCTCAGTAGCGATTCAACGCACTCCAGGCTGGAAGTCCTTGCCGCCAAGTGGAGGGGTGTGAAGCCCCGGTGGTTCTTTAGTTTCGCATCTGCTCCTTTGGACAGCAAAAGATCCACGCACTCCACATTTCCCTCGTCCGCTGCCAAATGCAGTGCCGTGGACTCCTTTTCCCGGATACAGATCCGTACGTTGGCATCTGCGTTGGGAGCATTCAAGAGGGCCTCCAGGCACTGGATGTTTCCCAGGTCAGCGGCCAGGTGTATAGCATTGGTGCCGTTTGGCTTCAGCGAGTTGACATCGGCGCCCTCGCCAATGAAGATCTGCAGACACTCCAGGGCGTTCGATCTGACGGCACAGTGCAGGAGGCTCTCCTCGCAATTGGGCTTGTTGGTGTCCTTGGCTATGTCGGCGCCATTGTTGATCAGGAACTTGGCCGCCTCCGCAGCGTTTCCAAAGGCAGCGCAATGGAGCGGCGTGTAGCACTTGGACTGAAGGTTCACGTTCAGACCCTTGGTGACCAGCAGGCCCAGCGTGGCTAGGCAGCCACTGAAAGCTCCCAGATGCAGTGCCGAAATTCCATTCTGATCGCAAAAGCTAAGATCGGCTCCGGCCTCCAGCAGACCCTCGATTAAATCCCAGCGCTTGAGGTACGAGGCCCACAAATAGCTGAGGTTCTTCTCCAGCTTCGAGGCTGACTCGAAGTGCGTCCGAATGCTCTCGGCCACCACGTTGCCCTGCTCGATGTCCTCGAAGAGCCGCACACGTCCCGCCGCGCTCTTCATCTGGTCGATCAGGCTGATCCGGAGCGTGTCGTTGCATATCTGAACGCTCAACTCGCTAGTCGGCTCCTCAAAGCTGTCGTACATGCTCGGCGCACTCTCCGCCGGCGGGGATGGTCCACACTCCATGTATTCGAATTCTCCAGCGGTCGGGTACTGGGCTTCGATCATGGCGTCAGTGTTGTTCCGCCATCGCACCATCAAATTGGGGGGAATCGATTTGAAGCTGTCGATTTGAAGATGGGATTAGGGTATAAAATTAAAGTTAGCACTAGTGTGAATACATTCTTATATAGTTTACATTTGACATTAAGATACGATAGGACATAATAGGTCAGTTTAGAACAGGATGGGATACCTTCCCCCTTAAGATTGATAAAAGAACAAAACACTTAATCATTATATCTTGAATTAAGCACTAAACTTTGAGTAACTATGGTACTTAAAGTTACCACTTCATAAAATAATTTAGTTATAGCATCGGTCTGAATCACTTTCTTAGAGTCTTAAACAAAGTCATTAGGGGAACTCGCACTTCTCTTTGTCTAAGCTCGGGCCTGGCTTTTGAGGCGGGCTTTGTGAAACTTTTTATGGATTTGTAAACATATATTTTCCATTGCTAAAACGCCACTAAACAGAGTTCGAGATCTGTTGACTTTTCGAGCATGCATAATTTTAAATAATTATTATTCTTTTTTTTTGTATAATTTTTTTGCGTTGAGAGTTATGCAAAGTTGGCGGTTTATTTTAAAGTCGTTTTTTTTTTCTACCGTCCACTACTGGCTCGCGGGCTTACGTTGATGGATTCACCGACTTTGGCGGGCGATTTTAGTTTATTTTCTTGGTCGCGAACACCAGAGATCTGCTCAGATCAGCATAGTCACTCGGTGCATAATTTCAGACCTCGTTCATGGCCAGAAGCTGGTGCACTTGTTGTATAACAACTACGAGCATACATAGTCTACCGCCTTTGTTGGCCACTTAAACTGGGCAATGGGAGACTGGGAATCCGGCCGTATTCAATACGTACATCGTTTGCAGCCATATCCACGGATGATGCCAATTCGCCAGTGAACTGTTTTCAATTTCTAATTTCATTTCCGAAATACATGGGAGAGTCCGGCGCGACAGTCGACCGACCGACCGACTTTCCGACTTCCCGACTGATTGACCCCGCCACAAAGTGGCACTGGACTTACGGGGATCGGATCGAATCGGATCGGATCACTTGGATCGGAGCGGTACGAGGCGGGTCGGACGGAAAAATTGTCTCACAATGGGACCTTTTGTCGGGGGCTTAGACAATTGTATCTAACGGGCGGAAAATGCAAAATGTTGTGTAAAAAAACGCGAATTTTTCACTTCCGTTTTGTTGTAGTTGTTGTGTCTATTCTATCCGATTTTTTGGCCGTTGTTTTAGTGGTTATTGTTGTTCCGATCGTGCGACGATCACTTCGAACACCGCGTTCTAGCTGAAGCTGGCTACTGATTCGTACACTCTATTGGCCAGAACCGAACGCGTCCGCCTCCATTGTTGTTTCCAAACCGACTAAACTTGATGAAAAACCGTAAACCTCGGCTCGGTCTCTGATCAATATTGAAAGAGGTGTAGTTGGAGAGTGAGAAACCGGCCAGGAGAGATTTCGCCAGACGCCGGGGAGAGTGAATCCAATGCCCGGGGGCTTGCCAGAGATTTCGGTAATTTTTGGGCGTGAGAAAGCTGGGGCTAAGAATATCATTGGCCAAGTCGGTCTCAAGGGTATCTTTTGTTACTGGTTTGGGTGGTATTGGAACTATTATTAGGTTTTATAGGATTTTAAAATAAGTTTGGAAGAAGGGTAGTGCCGGTTCTTTCTCTTCAGTTGGATGAAGGACTCTGTTTTAAATGAACGAAGTAATATTTTCTACCATTATAATAGATTCTTATTTTGTGGTGTTCTAAGAAGTAAACACTTTTCAAATCGTCCCGATAGCATTATTAGTAAAAATCCCAAAAATAATCTCTAACATTATCTACCGATTTTATTGAAATATCTTTTAAATTTTCTATTATTTCTATTTTTTTATTCAAGTCTAAGCTGAAATATATAGTAATTTGAAAAACGAAGTAAAAGTGAAACTTGATCCTCTCAGGGAGTATAGAAAGTGTAGTATCTGGTAGTTGAATTTTATCCCCCATTGATTGCAAATTACCTTGCAACTGGTTTTGTGTAAAATTTGATTTTTTTTGAAGTGTTGACTTGGCCAATACATTTGTCACATAAATCATGCGGATGTTTCCGCGTCTTTTGGAACGCGACTCATGGCTTTTGGGTTTGGCAATCACACCTGTGCGTATGCATATTTTGAACACATTTTATTGCAACCAGATATCTCTGCAATTGCAACTGGCTATTGGCAACTGGCGAGGTGACAACTCCAACTGGAACTTACCGGTTATTTGCATTATTCTCCGTGAGCGGCTGTTCCACTTCGGTCTTGGTAACGACACTGATCGAACGTGTCATGCGGCGGGGTTTGGTGCTGCCCTCCTTATAGCCCAGATTCTCCATAGTGGTCGACCCGCGAAGTGGTTTCTCTGCTATCTGGGTATCTGGCCGTCGATGTCAATGCTACTGCTACTCTTTTTTATTTTTAGAGGTTGCAATTAAAACGCGCAAAAATGCGAAAAGCTCAATGCAAATCGATTGGCTTAATAAATGGCTTTTCAATATCAGTGGAGGCTCTGGAGGCAACTTCCAAGATTTCAATGCAAGATCGACATTTTCTGCAAAGCTGCAAAGAAAGATGGAAAGTTTATAGCTGGAGAATGGTTGGAAAACTACAATCCCCTAAATAAACAAACTAATTTTAGTAGCTTTAGATCCCCATACCACAATTTAAGTTTCTAAACTCTACTCTTCCCAAGTGTCACACTGTCTGAGTAACTTTTGCCAACTGTCCGGGCGAATGGACTGCGGCACTCGTGGCTAAAATTATCTAAAAGCCTTCCGTTTTGACGCAGCGATAAGACCCTCTCATCGTCATTTGTCTTACTAGATATTATCACCAGACTATCTGGGGATTTATCTTAAAATGCTACTGTTTCTGGATTTAAAAGGTGGACCTGATAGTTAGGGGAAATATTATAAGTCTATAAATGGCTGTATCCTTTAGGATTAATTTAATATTAAAGCCATTAAAATATATGACAGCTCTATTGATTAGCTAATACAGACCCATATATGGATTTTATAAGTTCAACGTATTATAAACTATTTCTGTTTGTTAGCCCTTCTCTTATTTCGTCTTATTATGTGTTTGTTTTTGTACCTTCCAGCTATTATAGTTGTTACGCTTTTTTCTAAAACCTATTTATAATAGATCATATATTTAACTAGATTATAATCACAGCTTTTCCCCACTCTCTCACGTGTGCTAAGAATCGAGATAATCATTACGCTTATTACATTAGATTTACTTTGCTAACGAAGCGTTAAGCTTGTTTAGGTTCCATTTGATGGATTTACTTTTGGCATCGGATTACCGTAAACAATTCCCCAGAATTTTGGGAATACGGCAAACCTGTTTGCGAAATATAAACAAACAGAGTCTGTTTGCCTGGCGACAATCGCTGGTGCTTGGAACTTTCTTTGATTAGGCAAAAAAACAATGAAAATCTGGCGATAAAAACGAGGTAACGACGAGTTTAAAAAATAAACTCTCAACAAAATTGAGCTAGCTTAAATATGCCAGAAAATTAATCAAATTCTGTGCGTCGTTGGCGAAACCAGTTTTGGACCCATTGGGGGACTGTAGTATGTTCGTAGCTGTCTGGAGTCTGCGAGGTCCAAAACTCGCTAACACAGTGGGTAAATATTTGATGAAACGCCCCCGTGTGATTAAAAAAAAAAATTGCTGTCATTTTTGCCACATTGTGTGAATTACTGGAAATCGTCTTGTCAATTAATAAATTTCTACTGGGCCTATGGATATTAATGGAGCGTCTGCTATTTGGAGCGTACTAGAACAGGTTCCCGGAAGCGCCATTTTCCGGATTACCGGATGATTATGCCGGACGGACTGTGCGGCCATTTTGAAAAACTGCGACGCTATCGAATGGAAATGGAAATGGCGATTGCCCTAACGATCGTCGGGGGCCGTTCGTTTACTTTCTCGGTTATTTTTCACTGCGCGTTTATTCAATTATAATTGACATCAATTTGGAACTTTTTCTTCGCTCTACTCCCGCTTTTGTACGATCCAGAGAAAAGGGGGATTTATTATGTGAGCAAACGCATCGGACTAAGCTAAGTTTTATTTTTGTGTTGCTTTGATAATGCCCTTGAACCTGAATCGCGTGCCCACCGGCCCCACATCGTCGGATCTCTGGGTCTCTGTGGACACTATTTTCGATTTACTATATGTAAGTGTACTCGCGGGCCAATGTAGCTGCAATTGGGCTTTTGCTTTTATTCACAAATTAAAGGATAATGCAGCCGACAAGTGACAAAAGCCAGAGTGTAAACAAATCTCAATTGCTATTCATGAGCTGATCTCGGCTATAGAGATTGTTTATTTTATCATCTTTTAATGGGAATTGTTCTACTGGATCTCGAGAAAGTTCTGTGTCAATATTACACTTGACTTTAATCATAACTGTATTTATAATTTAATTTTTAAAACTAAACTTTAATTCTTTATTTTCGAAAATGTCACTTTACGTTAAAAAACCAACAGTTTTTAGTGGCAAGTCCAATGCCTGGGTTTCTGGATCTGCTGCTGCATTTTGATCCTTAAAATGAACGTTGCTTTATCTTTTATAGAAGCTATAGCTCAATAGGTCTTTCTTCGGTCCGTGTAAAATAATCCGACACTTGAAAAGCGCGCTCAACGACGTGAGATCAACTGATAAAAGGAACTGCGCCGAAATGATATTGTACACGATATAAGACCCCAAACTAAGTTTCGCGAGCGACAATGAAGTAGATGTACACTTAGTCTATATACTATATACACCATATATTCCCCTATGGAGAAGGTACTTGGCTGGACGAGCGACATCTTCGGGTCTTTCGTCGTCGACTCGTGCGATCAACTATACTACTCTGGTGTCAAACTATAATATTAATTTAAATCATAAGATGTCGTCGCGAATTTTCTACTAGCCGGCAGCCCGCCTTCCACTTTCCACCCACTACCCATGACAGTCTTCCCATATGGCTTCCAAAGATAAATGGATTATGTTGGGGAACCCTGAAGTTGGGAACCAGTTTCTTTAGTTGCCTCGTCATTTTTCTGCAAAACTGTTTCTATTTTTATCGAATTTAATGAAGAATTTTTTTGTCGTTCATCCTCAGCTTTAATTGCCAGTTTGCTGTTAATTCAAAAATCTTGTTCGCAATATTATTATGTTTATTCTTTTGTTGCTGTAGCGTGAAGTCATCTAATAATTTTTTTGAACAAATCAAAGCCCATCTCTTTCGCTCGTTCGTCCCAAAACCATTACGAGATTGATGACTTCTGTCAACTTGCCTTGACAAAAATGTCCAAACACAAATACGTATTAATTACTGTGCTTTTATTTTTTAAAAAGGTTGTTTTTTTATTCAGATCGTTTATTATTTTTGTGCCCCCAACCGTTGAGGAGTTTCCGTTTGTGGAGCCCTACTGGGCCTTGATTCCCATTCGAATCAAAATTGGCACAATCACATTAATTACAATGTTTTTGTTTTTGAGGCGGTGGTCTGAATAATTATTTTTCTGCGGCATTTTTAAATTTAAAAAATTGTATTCAATTTTTGTTATTGAAAAGCAAGTTGCTAAGCTATTGATAACCAATAGCACCAATACCCAAGGACTAAGAACTATTGCAAGATATTAAACATTTTCATAAGCTTTGCTATTTCTTGTTTCTGGGATATAAAAACCAGGATATAGATATCTTTGTAAACCTATAGTACAGAGTCAACATTATGTGAATCTATTACTTAACAATGTAATCGTGGCAGCGCGTGCCCATCAAGCTTGGGGCTATGCAATTATCTGTAATGAACTTATAATTTGCATCACACCTACAAAACAAACCTTTCAGGTCCCGTTTCCGTTACAGGTTAAATGACAAGCGGTGTTTGCAAACATATATTTTTGTGTATATTAAAAGTTGTTTAAATTGGGTAACGATTTTCAATCACTTTGTACAATTACTTAAAAGTTGGGGCCTTCTAATGTCTCTATAGAGCTGAATTATGCTAATCATCGAATACATATTTTAAAAATCATTATCTTTCTATTTGCAGTTGCTCTTTCCGTTGCAATTTAGCGAAATGTTGGGAAAAGTTGATGTGGAGGCCAATGTGGAGGGCGGCGGACCATCCGGTCAGGCCGGTGCCATTCGCTGGGGAATTGCGATGAGTTTGCGCAGCTTTGTTGATCAAGAGATGATTGAGTCAATGCGTCTGGGTAAGTGTCTTTAAACCCCTCCGTCTACATATTCTCGCTAATTGCAATTTATGTTCAATGTTTGCAGCTGGCCTCCTGACACGTGACTACCGTAGACGCGAACGCAAGAAGTTTGGACAGGAAGGGGCACGCCGCAAGTACACGTGGAAGAAGCGCTAAGTGGACACGTGAATCTGCAATACGCTGTTTGGTTATATGGCAGTTATGATGGCTTTAATAAATGTGAAGATCGTAGTGCCTTTGGTATTTTTTATTTCTTTCATCTACATTTGGTCGAGAGGTCTGAGACCCAAGATTTGTATTCCTTGTTGGAGGGTCTGCTTGGCGGCGTGGAAGAGAAGCAGTCTTTGGTATTGTTTTTGCCTACAAGCTTCCTGCTTGACTGGCAAGCGTTTAAGAGCTCGGCTGGTTGTGTTGCTGCAAGATAAAAGATAAAATTGGAGAGGGTATGATCTAAGGATCCAGAATTAAAAGCACTATCTTTCTTACCAAAGTCCAAATAGATAGTTAACCAGGACACATGTCTCCAACTGCTCCTTTGATTGCCAGACGTTTTGATCGAAACGAGCTAGTTCGTAAACCAAATCCAAAGCCTCCAGAGGCTCTGTGGCGAAGTGATCCCAGTTCGGTCTAATATCGTCTACATCAACTTCTGTAAAATTCTCCAATAAATTGTTTAGACGGCAGTGCGTGTACTGGAGCTTAATTCCAGTGTCCCCATTAACTTGAAGGGCCTGGTTCCAGTTGAATTCGTAATCGCGCTGTCGGCGCTGTTTAAGGACATTTACTAACACCGCGGAGACGCCAAGAATATCACAGACATGCTCGTCATCGAAGGAAGTATTTTCTTTGGTGGCTGCAAAAAAAAAAGGTTTAGAATAGGTACTGTGCTTTTATATTCCAAGTTCCAACTAACTTGCACTTAGACTCCGTTTTTCCCTCATAATATCCCGAGCTTCATCCAGGACGTCCTTGAGAAATATAGCCGTGCCCTGGCGAGTGCTCATACCATGGATTCTTCCAAACTTGACATGTTTAAGGCTTTCTTTATTTAAGCGATTATTTAGATTCGACGCTGTCTTAAAGAGGGCATTGAAGTGATCTGCTTGGCCATTGTCCACCACATACAGTAGGCGAGAGAAATTTAGGCGATCCAATCGTGATAGCAGAGCGGCAATGTCCCTGGCCAGGTATAAGGTGGAGCCATCGCTTTTGATCACTGGAATGCGCCTACCATCGACACTAACAATCTCACGGCCATCCGATTCTCTGAGCAGGATTCCAGCCTTACGCATCTGATCCAAAACTTCGAGGATTTGTTGCTGGGAATATTGGGACTCCCACTCGTAGCTGTCGAAGTGGACACCTAGTCGGCTATAGACTTTTGACAGGTCCTCTATAGTGTACTGCCGATACTGTTGCCACTTTTTGGCCATTTTTTCGTTTGTGCCAGCTTCCAAAGCAGTGAAGAGATCCCTTGCCTGCTGGGCTATTTCAGGACTATCTTCTGCTGCTTTATTGGCGACTACGTAGGCTTTGTACAGCGTTTCAATGGGCGATGTCTGCATAGTCTTATCACTTACATTGTTAAGCTCAACTCCCAGCGCCAGCAGACCGAATTGTGTGCCCCAATCTCCCAAGTAGTTCACGCGAGTTGTCCGGTAGCCCAGATGCTGGTGGAGATTAGCCAGCACGTTGCCAATTATAGTAGAGCGCAGGTGTCCCACGTGAAAAGGTTTGGCAATGTTCGGCGAACTGTATTCTACCACGACGTGCTCTGAATTTGGTTGAGGCAAGGGATTTGATTTGTTCCGCAACACGCTCTCCACAAATGCCTGCGGGTGCAGCTGGAACTCTACTTTGGCTGCATTGCGCCCAGAGCTGGGGATAGTTTTAACCTTCTCGATGTAGGTGTCATCAAATCTGAGATCGTTTACCTCCCGTAGTAGCTCCTTTTCCTGTTGCGCAACCGCAGAAGGAATAATCCATTCCAGGCTCGGCCGGTGGCCATTCTGCAGTATCTGCTTCTTCACCGGTACCTCCAGGGCATTGGTAACGCCATTTAGTTGTTTTAGCTTCAAGGAGATGGGATTGGTTATAACAGGTAACTCCGTTTTGAATCCATTTCCTCTCACCTGTTTGCAAATTGAGCGCCTAATGCGAATCATCGAGGTGAACAACCTGTCGGCTTTTTCTTCCCCGACAACTATTTCGCACAAGTCATTTAAAGTTAAATGCCTATTAATAATAGTAAATTATAGTTGTATAGTTTAAATATAATACAATATTATTGGTTCATGTGCAAGAATAATAAACTTAAGAAATATCGATAAGAATATCCATTCTTATCAATATTTTGACCATTTTGTTGGTCACACTACCACTAAAAGTTTCTGTCCCAGAGCAAATGGCAACACTGCCGCGAAATTTGAACTATGTTGAGATGAAATTGATTAATAAAGCTCTTTGCACTAAAACATTTACGTAAATACTTGAATCTGTATTTTTCTTTTGTTGATTAGGAGATTTGAGGGGAGTCCCCGCTAATCTGTCATTCTGATATCAACAAAATCTTCTAAGTCTCCAATCCTCCTGAGGGGTAAAAATTCTTAAGTAAGGCGGCCAAGTGAGATTAAAATGCCCACAAAACACTTTTATAATACTATTTAGCAGAGCAATAGTTTAAAAATTATAATTTTTTAATATTTCTGGCAACGCTGCTCGCTTCTGCGCGGGACAGTTTGAGATAACTTTCAGGCCTTGCTTTTTGAGGGTTGAATGCGGCTCGAATATATTCACCGAAGGCACCACAGAGAAACCCCATCGACGCCCATGCGAACATATGGTTAGTGCTGATTTTACTTGTATTTCCATGGAGCGGCTCTCTGGTTCTACGCTTACGTGCAACTTCCAGGCCCTGCGTCAACTCCAACGCCGACGCTTTGGTTAAGACTTAAACTTTTGAGCATTTCAGTCGCGTTTCTAACGTCGAAGAGTCGTGTTCCATTACCAAATTGAAAAGGCGGAAGTCGCATTTCAGCGAAGCAGAGGCTTACTGCACATTCTGTTCAATTTAAAAAGTGTGTTTACTTGTGAAGTGCATATTTTCACTCTTGATTGTCTGCATTCCCGTTACCAAGATTCGCTTCAGTGATTTTTAACTACAAGAGGCAAAAAAGATTAGCAGAGTGTGATATATATGTATGCGAAAAAAAGTATTGCATGCCTGGGGGCTGTGCGAAAATATGAAAATAAAAATCGATTGCCAAGCCACAATAATAAAAATACTAAATCGCCTATAAGATAGCAACTTTGATTTTATGTCTATTAAAACCGTTAATCAGGGTATCCTTGTCTAATTACGTTGACATTCAGAGAGCTATTAAAATTTTATTTGTATATACATATATATGTACTTAGGTGTGTGTGTGCGAGCATGAGATCATCATTGGAACGGTAAAACTGTAAAAGTAAAACCGCACTGCCTTCCTGCCTTCCGGTATGCAATACTTTTTATCACGCCTCAATTTCTCTCCCCCAGCAGAAGTCTAATCCAATTTGGCCTATGACAATACAAACGAAATTTCTTCGCTACGCATTATCCAGGTGCGTGTGCGTTTAGGAAAGGAAAGAGACAGGGCCAGGGAGAGTGCGAGTACCAAAAGCGATATTTCAATTAAAAAGCTAGACCCGTGTGTGTATGTGACCTACGAAAAGTTGTTGAATTTAACAACGAACATAAACATAACATCAGTTTGAGAATAAACCCCTGAGGAGAGTTTAAATTGTATTTCTGGTACTGGTTCGGCGGCAGCAAAATCATTTCCCTATGATTGGCTCATTCTGGAATCTGTGCAGAGCGTGCCCATCAATGCCGGTAGACAAGGTGAGTAATATGGCCCACTTTTTTACACAAACTTCAGTTAAAATGCATATAATTTAAAAAGCTTGGGGCAGAAACTAGTTCGTGATTGAAAACGCCACAACAATTGAATATTATTTCCACAAAAGTCTATCAGGATTCTTGCTTAATGGTATACTGTTAGCCTCTTAGCCCAGTTTCAAGTTGTGAACAATCCAAATGGTTTTGAGTGAACCCCTCGTTTTGGTGTGCAGGGGTCGGTTATTGCATACTTGCAGGCGTCAAATGAAAAGGGGATGCAATGGCTCCAAAATAGGGTGATTTGCCATGAATTATGACTCGCTCGAATAAATTTCAGGATTAGGGTGAACCTGTTTTATATTAAAAAATGTTTTATTACATGTTTAATCCAAAGGGACAGTTGTCATTATTAATCATGAACTGCGCTGCGGCGGTAATACCATAAAAAATGTGACTATACCTTCCTTAAATGGTAAAAGAATCTTTCTTTGGCAAATATTTAATAACTGTCTTTCAACTAACAAATCATAATAATTTATTGTCATTAAATCGCGTCAACTCTTTATATATAATAAATAGGTAAAAGAAGAAGAAGCAGGAAACGGTTCCAAGGAAAATGAAAAAAGCTGGACAAAAAAAAGCACAAAATCAATAGCATATGGCATGTGGCTGACTGGGACCCACAGCTATTGCCGGCCGGGGTGCCACATTGTAGTCGCTCCCCGGGTTCTGATTCCCACAAATTTAAGCGGACCCGGTGCCGAGGCCGAGTACCTGTCGTTTTAACTCGGCTCTTTTCTCATTTTCCAGTGGATGTGGGGAAACAGCTGATTCATCAACATGCCGTGACAGTGCTATAGAAAATGTTTTTCTGGGGGAACCTTAAAAGCATTGATTCTTAAACAATATTAAGCAAAAAATTTTATTATTTTAACAATTAGTTTATTTTATATAAAAAAAAATATGAGCAAAAAGAAAGTCCAAATTCCCTCAATCTTTTTTAAAAAATTATAAATAAATCTGAACTTTTCCTATTTATACAAAAAAAGGGTGTTGATAATATCAATAATATTCATATAATTAATTAATTTAATAAACTGCATTTTAGACATATTTATTTTTTCCCATGACGCAGGAATGTTAAAGAATCACTTTCATCCGTTAACTAGAGAGTCCCCGCGCATGTGCAGTTGAAAGAAAGCGAGAGAAAGCTGAGCAACTGAGCGAGAGAGTAGCAGGCCGGCTTTTGTTCCAACTCCAATGTGATTGTTTGTTCTATCTGCTAGCTTGAGCCATATGACGTTCGAGCCAAATCGCCTTGCGGTATTACATCAGCGGAGGGCAGTCAGACTTTTATATCGACGCCTTTTCCTCCCACTTCCGGCGTACCCCCCCGAAGAAGGAACTACGCTAAGTTGGTGGCATTGCCGGCTAAGTGTCGCCAGCAGGTCGTCGGTTGCATGCTACACGCTTATCGATTCAGCTCGCATATGGTTACCACCGTATTCCTAATTCTTAGTCACTCTTTGAATCGATTTCTTGACGACTTGCAGTCAGCTGGGCGTCGCCCTGTTATAGTTTTCCACAGCTCGTGACGACTTATCTCCCACTGACAGCCGCAGCTATACACACCGCTTTGTTTCCTCCTGTCCTCCTGCGTTTATTCAGTCCTTTTGAGTGGCACTGGCAGCGGTTAGACGTCTTCTTTCCTGTCGTTATCGTATTTCTGCAGATTTCTGCGGGTCGGAAATTGAAACTCTCTCATAGAAATGTTGAGAATTGGAATTCGTTGTATTATAGAATCTTAAATATTTTGGCAATTTTTAAAGAACTTAAAGCCGAATAGGCCTTTTCTTTGAACATGGAAGCTAATTCAAATAGGATCTGCAAATAGAACATCAATCAAGACGCAGGGCTTCAAGTACCTTCTATCTGCATCTGCATCTGCATCTAGTATAGTTTAGTCTAGACTAAGTTGACAAGGTTTTTATTGGGTATAATAATACTCTAAGAATATCTAAGACCAGAAATTCATCGATCGGACAAGAATTGCGTATGTTATGACTTTTTTTCTGAAATAAATGCATGCTTGTATTCTATAAGATGTCAAACATATTTGAATTAAAAAGAAAACCATTTTTTAGCTTCAATAAGTTTCTTATTTAATTAAAAAGAAAGTCGGATGGGGAATGTCGGATCTTACAGTAAAATCACTAGAGACCAAAACTTTTGCAAGAATTGTTTCTTGTGCGTATTTCGTTGAAATCTCCACTTCTTGACGTTTCTTTTTCGGAGAAGTTTTCTAATCTAATTACCCGTGGTCAGCATCTAGAATTTAGTAAATAGTTTAATTAAATCACATATATGCGAATTCGTATGTAAGTATCCTTGTATGTCAGTACCCGTGTGTATACTTCTGTTGATGGGTAACCACTCTTGGTTACTCTTGGTATTGATTTTTTTTTCAAGATTAAAATTGCACACGAAAGCTACATGGTCATGAAATGTCTATCAAATGGTTCTCATCAATGTCAGGCATAGCAGAACTTTTTCCATTAAACCAGAAGTTTTACAAGCCCGGACCACGCGTCGTATACGTTATATGTGCATTATGTTTCGGATTGTTTTATAAAAATTTGAACCTTACATTACATATATGGAAAAAAAATAATCGAACAATCGAATAGGTTTCTGACAAATATTTCTATGCATTAAAATGAAATTGGTCTACCTTCTGTAATACGATGATATAGTTAAAGATATTAACTTCCTTTAATATGTTTCCAATTATGAGTCATTTTTAATTGATGTTAAACACCGGCAAATCTCGTTAATTAATCAGAGTAAAAAGTGCTTGGTTTAGGTCCGTCCTACTTTGCTTCCATTTTCGAAGCCAAACACAGCGGCCACGTTTCAGCCTTGCCCCATTACGCCAACTTTCCGGCCATCCCCAGTCGGTTCTCAACCATCCATCAGCATCCTGTGTGAGCAAAACTGCCATGACGTCGACTAACGTATTTCAATTTCAATTTTCTGCCTTTGAACTAATGCAATTATTATAATTTCCTTTCGCCAGTGAATGGATTACAGGGCCCAGCTAACGGCCTGTCAGGTGCCATATGCTGTATGTAGACGGGACGATGTCTACCATCGTTGCACTGATGCAGTCCTAGGCGAGGGCACTACCCTGTTCTACCCTGACACCATAGGGGTCTAAATCTTGGCTGGCGACCAACATCGAACCGCTCATGCTGACATTGCTGAACGTAATTTTGGCCGACGGTCTGACACCGAAATTTTTAAAATATATTTAATTCAATGACTGAGACAAGGTTTCTCTAGGAAACTGTCCTTAGTTGCTCGTCCACTTTTTCATCCCTCGGCATAGAGATTCTACAAAAGCTCAGAGCTGCTAAAAAGTTAAATATACGCTTTGAGTATTACCGCGTTCTACGCTTTTTTTCTTATCCTGGCCAACAATTCACATCCGAGTATTATGCGTTTAGCCAACGGGAGGAAAGGTGGAATGGAAAAACTTTTGTTTGAAAACACAATAGCGTAAAATATTTAAGTGGCCATGAAGGGGATTCCAGTTGGAGAAGAGGGACCATTATACCCCTCATTTGACCCAATTTGCATATACATAAGTAATGTGTTAGTTTTAGCTCTTGGCAAGCAACAGAAAAGTTTTTGCCAATTGGCTGGGCCCACATGAGCAATATTTAAAAATGGCTGTGATGTCAGCTCAACAGGGAACGTCCCGAAAGCGATAGACAGTAGTTTCATAAATACTCATAATAAATATGCATTCTTCTAGAGTTCCTTGGATCGGAATCCTCAAGCATAAATGGTCTTATTTGTTGGGAAAAACTTAGAACTAGTAGTTCAGTTCAGTACAATTTTATTAAGCCTTGGTTCTTAGCCGATGAAGATATTTAAATAGAACTAAAGACCCACCGAGGACATCGGCGAACGTTCACCCAAGCGCGTGCCGCGAAAGACAAAGCGCGTAGACGCTTTTGTAGTTTTTCACATGAGTGCTTTAAGCGCAGCACTCAGTGCAGATACTCACCCACACCGTGCCATCACTCACCGTGGCACTCATAAAATGCACTCAAGCGGTAATCGCTGCACACAGCGCACAAAAACTAAAAACGACTCAAAGGGGATCGAATTTCCATTTAATTGTTTGGTATTGAATAACGCAAAGTAACCGGTGCAAGTTTGCAGCAGAGGAAAATTAAAATGTCGTTGCAAATACTTCTACATCAGTTGCCAGTTTTCTGTTGCCGTCTAAGATATTTGAAGTTTGGCTCAAGGGCTGGAAATATATCCTAGCATGGATATTTTTTCGTCATTTTTTTGCTTAGCATTATACATATTTTATTCCAAGTCAAGTCTCTAATCATGTCTTAAATATCTATGGAGTAAGCAATGCAATCATGTCCTGTAGCTTTTAAAACATGTCATATTACACATGTATTTCTAATTCTCTCAACGGCAGTCTTTTTTGTTGTAAAAAGAAGAAAGCTACATCGACAGGAATGTCACCACTAAGCTGTCAAATCATGCCAAAGCCAAGCATTCCAAAAGGTGTGCTCTTACATATGTAAATAAGTAAGTATGAATAGGGATTAGAACTGAAAAGCATAAGACTGCGGTTAGTGCAGACTGAAGGAATCGGAAATGTATACATGGAGTGTTTTAAGAGTCTTAAAAGTGTAATGTTCCCTTTTTTACCACTGTTTCCATCTAAAATTGTCCCTCAGTTTTAAAGGTATCGAGTTCAAACTTTGAAGTCATCTTTGCACGCATTATACCGAATTTGGTTGATACTCAAATTCCTATAGGAATCGATCAACTATATCTGATGTTTGCGATATATGTATGTATATATGTATGTAATTCTATACATTCCATCCTTATATATCCTTAACTAACGTAATTCTTAATGCTTACATATAAATTAAAAATCTGAAAATGTAAACATTCATATTTTCCTT